CAAAATGGGATGAAGTTCAGGAAGACAAGTATTAGGATGTTGAGGTTTGAGAGGCTAACCAAACAACAATCCCACCTTTCCCTCCTCCATTGAAACCAATGGAGAAATAAGACACAGGAGCTAGCTGGAGTTCTAAATAACAGCTTCATTCCTGTTAAAAGCCAGAGTGGAGGATATACCCTAGATGTGTGTTCACAAAAAGCTCCCAAATAGTTGACATATTTACAGACCTCCCCTATAGGTCTTTTAGAGGGGCAAAGCCTGCCCCTTCAGCATCATATGTCAGAGAACATACCAGAAAATTAGAAAAACCTTCAACAACAGGCTTAGAGGGAGCATGCCGGTTTCCTGTTCCCAAAGCCAACCCTCAGATAAGAAGATGGAAATAAGTGTGAAAAGGGTCAGAAACAGCCCCAATGAGGAGTAAATGACTTACTCTAGACTACTTGCTTTGCTAGGTAGTTATAGCGTGGAATAGACTAGGGTTTTCCAAGTCTTAATCCACTGTTCCCACACCCAATTTGTCTGCATTTAGACATCAGGAAAAGTAGGCTTAAATTAAACGAATTTGGAAATATCGTTAAACTTACAAACTTTTAAGCTGATATAACAAGACATGTCTGTGATGTGACTATGTGGAATATGTAGTAGAATCTCTAGTACAGTGGTTTAAATTGGTGGGCTCTCAAGTGAGGTCACCTGGATTCACATCCTAGTTGTATCATTTACTAGTTGTTTTACCTGGACAAGTTGCTAATTCTCTCTGAGCCTCAGCATGCTCATCTATTAAATGGAAATAGTAATAGTTCCTACTTCGTGGGGTGGTAATAAGGCTCAGATGAGAAGGATACATATAAAATACCAATGCTTCACATAAATGAATTCCTGACACATAGGCACTGATAAATATTACCTAGGGCTATTATTTATCATCATCAGCATCACTTTTAAAATTTGACCTGTGAAGACAGTAAACTTCTTACTTTAGGATTTCACCCATCCCAGGTTACTCCTTTGTCCTAAACCTCCATTTTTTAGGTATCCCAGGCTAGAAGTTTTGTAATCGTCTTTTACTACCTCTCATTTAAGCCCATAGTCTCTGTCACCAAGTACTACCTTGTTTGTTTAAAATGTTTCTCTGTTAACCCCTTCCTCTTCATTCCCATTCTGACTCAGGCCCTGCTTCCCTCTGGCCTGGATTACTACTAGCCAAGCCTCTTAGCTTCTTTTCCTGGCTATAGCTTCTCCTTCTCCAGTCTGTCCTATATGTCACTGCCAGGCTGACCTTCCTGAGACAGTGCTTTGATCCTGTTTCCCCCTGCCTTGGGATCTGTAATGAGTCTATTGTCTGCCAAAGCAAGGCCAAGGTTTCCTGACTGACTTTCAGGTCCTTCTAGAACATAACTGTCCAGTGGATATAGGATACCAGCCATACACAAAACTAAAGATTTTCTAGTAGCAACATTAAAAAGTAAAAAGAAACAGGTGACTTACAGTAATATATTTTAACTGAAAACAGTCAAAACATTGTCATTTCAACATGGAATCAGTATGAAAATAAAATATATTTTTTATTCTCTCTTTTCTTTGTTGCAAGTCCTTCAAGTCCCATGTGCATTTTACACTTACATCCATCTCAAATCAGACTTTTCATGTTTCAAGTGCTCAGGAGCCATATGTGGCTAAGGGATACTGTGTTAGTGCAGCTGTAGAGTGTGACTCACTACCACTCACTTCCATAAACAAGACATACCTAAATCTTACTTCTTCCTGGTTTGTTCAAACAAAATAGGGATGATAACACCATGCCTATTTTGTTGGTTTTCCCAAGCAAATGTGAGGTGTGGAAGTGCTTTGTGCTTTGTAAGCTGTGAAGATCCATGAGAATGTAGGAAGTTATTATCAGGAGTAAATGCTTTGCTGACATGAGAATAGGATATCTTTGAATAATTTGAAAGAAAATACTCTATTAAGAAGGTAAATGGGCTGGCCAGAATACATTTGTGAAAAAAATGAACTTCAAGCAATGAAAGAATGTAAACGTATACTTTCTCCCACTAGCTCTTCATAATGATCTTTTTGAAAGAAATTTGTCACATTAATAAGGTTCTCTAAATATTTAAATTAATCTTAGGCCTTTTTCCCCCTTCAGTATTCCGAGGAATGGATTTAGGGACATTTAGTTCCTCTCTTGAAGGAGCCAGACTGCTACCAAAAAGCTGATTGCTTTGGGTAGTAAATGTAGCCCATGTGCTTTGTATTACCAAGGTAGGAGAAGCACTCAAATTTCATTCAAATTCATCCACTTCATTACAAAGAATTGGAATCGACCTAAAAACAGAACACCAGTGATTTGGGTGGAGAAATGATTTGTAAAATGTCTTCAACCCATATTATAAAGGAAATTTTAAGTAGTAATTATTCTGGCAGGTTGATTAGTAAGATTACACAGTCAGAGAACACGTTATTTTAAATAGTGTTGAGTTATAGGGTGCTTTCTTAAGTGATGCGCAAATCTTAACCCAGCTCTTTACCAAATCAAGTAGTCTACTAGTTTTTCTTTAGCTATGACTTGAGCTATCTTGTGGCTCTCCAAGAGTTCAACATTTGCTATAGATGTAACTCTTAAGTTTACAGTGTGGGAAGTAAAGTCAACTTTATAAAGTGGCTTCTGGGCAAAGGACCCCTACCATTTATAGGTTTTGTCCAAGCCAGAAACCTCAACCTAATGTATGACCCTTTTCCTTTCATCTATCCCTCTAATTAGATGCTAAATCCTTATGACTCCACCTCTGAAATACTTCTATCTGCAACCTCCTCTCCATCCCCACTGCCCTCACCCAAGTTTTCATCCCTTTTCTAATAAGCTATTGCACCAATCTTCAAACCAGTTTCCCTGCCTCAAGCTTCAGCCTCCCCTCCACCCCACAATTTATTCTCCAGCTCACAGCAGAATCAACTTGCTAAAATAGAGATCTGATCATGCCACTCCTCTAATTAAAAACCTCAGGTTATTCCCAGGGCCGACAGATAAGATCCAAACTACTGAGCACAATGTACAAAGCACATTACAGTCAGAGCCTGACTTATCAGCCTTGCCTTCTGCCATATACCCAGAAAAATGCTAATCAAATTACTTGTGGTTCCCCATGACTCCCTATCCTCTTATGAACTCTGTTCTCTTCCCTTGGCTTGCCCCCTGCACTCGTCACTTCAGTGTGGGGAGTCCCATGATCTTCATGCCGGTAGGCTTCCTCAGACACTCCATGTTCTTCCTTAACTCTTTGATCTTTCTGACTCCATAACTCCATTCCTTATTCCTTTGTGCCAGGAACTCCTCAAGCCTAATTACTCTATATATCCCCAGCACATAACATTCTTCAATTACACAGAATCCCAGGATCTTAATTAAGACCACCTTTACCTTGTATGGTTATGCAGGTTGTGTACTGTTCAGCCTTAGGGGGCACTATGCTCATTCACCATTACAATGTTAATGACTCCTCCAGGGTTGTATCATGCACAGCCTTACACAGTATCCCAGCTTACCTAATCCTCTTCATTTTCAGATAATGAAATTTAGGTTCTAGGAGCCAATAGGTTTGCTCAAGGTCACCCAGATACTTCATGGGAAGGTACCATCAACAATCTGCCCCCTTTCTGCCTCTCAGTCATTCTGATCCAAATTGCTTGCTTCAGGAACCTGAAACTAGAAAAGATAGTATTTGCTATAGTTATATGGATATGGCCAGTATGCATTCAGCTAAACATGAAATTTGAATCATTTAGTTTATTTCTGCATTATCTGCTCTTGCTTTCCACCTCCAGCTGTGCTGGCCTGGTCACATGACTTCAGCACCTAGAATATCACTGCTGCCCTCAGGGCTACCGAGACTCAGGTGGTTGTTTTGTCCTACCAAGATGCCAAACTGTGCTGTCTGCTCTCTCCCTTGCTGGCCTACTCCTTTGTGACCTTACTGTTAGTTGCCTCCTTTTAGCTTCTCTTCTAGGCCTTTTGTGTTGCTTTGTTTTTATAACCATCACTAACCAGTCAACATGACTCTTTCTTCTATTCTATGAACCATTCACTCACATTATGTTGGCTATTGACCTTGGGTCTTTGTTTTTTTCTGCTGTTTAAAGCTGCTGGGTGTGCCTAGGTGATGCTGCTTCTTTGCCAAAAGTTGTTTTTTTGTTTGTTTCTTTTCTTTCTCCCCTTATTCTAGATTTAGGGCTTTCTGAATGCTTGAAGATGCCAGCAGAGTTGTCTCCAAATAGTCGTCATTCTATTCCTTTACCCCCACCTTTACTCTTTTTTAAAAAAAAAAAATATATATATGTTTTTGATGATTTCAGAGAGAGGAAAGGAGAGAGAGAAACATCAATGATGAAAGAATCATCCATTGGCTGCCTCCTGCACGCCCCTTACTGGGGATCAAGCACAGAACAGGGCTTGTGCCTTGACTGAGAATCGAACTGTGACCTCCTGGTTCATAGGTTGACTCTCAACCACTGAGCCACACTGGCCAGGTCCTACCTTTGTTCTTGCTTGGGAGGAAGAATCTTGTTTAGAAAAGTTCATGTAGATCAGGCACCCAATAGCTGATTGTCTCTTTCAAGGACCAATGGATTTTAAAAACTACTCCTTCCTCTACCCCTTACTCCCCATTATTGTCAAACTAAGGTAAATACTGAGGTGTTTTGGTGGGTGTGTTTGACCCTGAATAGAAAAACTGGATTTCTTGAACCAAAGCCCTCCAGCCTTAATGGACAATGCATTGTTTGTGTCTTTGCTCTTGATCATTAACGCTGGAAGATCTTTCTAAAACTGATGAGCTGCCTTAGTTGCACTTGTTTGGTCCAGATATAGAATAGAATTAGATTAAGGAACTATTAATTTGTTAGAGGTTTGATGCTTGCTGTTTAGTGGTTGTTTGCACTTTATATATATATTGTTCACTGTATAATTGGGAATTTCTTTGTAAATGTTTGGTTTTCAGGCTGGTTGGAAGGAAAATCATGCAACATTCATGAGTGAACTAAAAAATCTTCAGGCTTCTGGACTGACTACTCTTGGTCAGGCTCTAAGATCCTCATTTGATTTGTTAAATCTCAATAGATTAATATCTGGAATAGACAATTATGGACAGGTAAAAAAAAATTTTGGAGTGAGTACAACTAATTTATTTTGGTGACTTGGGGTAAGAATTTAAGATTGGGCATGGTTACCAAGTTTTCTGCTTCTTTTCATAACTTCCAAAAAGAGGTCCATATATCTTTTAATTACTTTTTTTAATTACCTTTTTTAGGGGGGTCTTGTATGTGGTTTGATCATAAAATAGTTAAAATTGCCTACCCATCAGATCATTAGATAGATGAGAATGGGATGAATAAAATGCTGAGAAATACTGGGACAGGACTAATGAAACTTTCAGTGCCTTTAACTACCTCATCCCTCCCAATTCAATGAAAAAGCTCTAGAAGGAGAGGAAAGCAGAATAATATTTGCTGCTGCTACTATTGTCCTTTCCTACTTTGAAAGCTCTGCTCGCAATGAATTAGTAACTGTCCAGGTTGCAGAGCCTAAGTCACTGATGTCTCCTTGTCTGTGCCAGGATTTCAACTCAGGCACTTGGTGTGGGTGATGCTGACATTATAATCTCTTTAATATCTTTTATGATCACTTGGAAAGCAGAGGGAGAGGAGTATTTGGATGTATACTTTGGGAGTTCCTGAATTAAAAGAATTCCTCAGTTTATTCTGAATGTTACCTCTTCAGGGATTGTTATTTTCATTCCCACCCACTCAGTCCCTAATCTTTTCCTTCTTATTTATCCAGGCAAATTTTATCACACTCTTGGGAGATCACTGGCAAGGCAAATGTAAAAGTTTAAATACAATTGTATTACCTTACATGGCTCTAATACTTTTTAAATGTATTTTAGGGGAGAAATCCATTTTTTTTAGAACCATCTATTTTAATTACTATCACAGATGGAAACAAGCTAACAAGTATGGCTGGTGTTCAAGAAGAGGTGAGATTTCATTTTTTAAATTTTCGTTTGAATGGCAGGGAACATGCAGCTATTTCTGTGGAGGGCATACATTTCTAGTTAAGAACAAGTTTAATGAAATCTTCCATCCTGGTAATCCCTGAAAGAGTGCTTCATTTTATTGAGTACACGAAAGAAAAGTGAATCCTTTAATTCTTTAACTCTTTCTTCTTGTCTGGGTTGTTATGATGAAAACTTTTCAAATTTTGCCTTACCAGCTTCATCTTCCTTTGAATTCTCCTCTGCCTGGGAGTGAACTAACCAAAGAACCTTTTCGTTGGGATCAAAGGTTATTTGCATTGGTGTTGCGTTTGCCTGGATTAGCTTCTACTGAGCCAGAGCAACTAGGGAGTGTACCAACTGATGAATCTGCTATCACACAAATGTGTGAAGTCACTGGAGGTATTGGCAATATTCACTATTTCAAGAATTCAAGGCAGCAGAGTGTAGTTTTTCTTAAATGCCATATCCAGCCTTTACTTGTTTTTCCTCAGAATTTTTAAACTCTGCTGCTTAAGCTCATTAACAGTGTGATGTTTGCTGCCAATGTAGCTATAATTATTTCAAGTTGTATTTTAGAATTTCAAATGCTTCAATTATACTCTTGTGAAATAGTATTTGATTTGATCGAACTTGTACTCTTTCTTTTTCCTTCCGGTATAGGTCGCTCCTACTGTGTTAGAACACAAAGAATGTTGAATCAGTGTTTAGAATCTCTAGTTCAAAAAGTTCAGAGTGGTGTAGTTATTAACTTTGAAAAAACAGGACCAGATCCGCTTCTTATTGGAGAAGGTACAGTAGATAACTTTGCTTTTACCCTATAGCGTTATTGAGTAGAACCATCTGTGACAGGGAAGACATTAAATTAATCATAATAGACAACAATCTTCACTATCCACATGCATTCAAGTGGTTACAAACATCCATCCAAAAAACTACCATTTATGCATCACCTACATATACATGCCAGGTAGCCAGATTCTAGCAACTTTAACTCACTGTCAAATCTTCTTTAGAAAATTCTTCCTTTTCCTTACCCATTTCATGTTCCCTGGTCCCAGTCTTGGAATGACACTGAATTATTTCCCTCTCTATTCATGAAATATCTGGACATTCACTTCAGAGTGCCAGTGCCACTTAACTAGTTTGGGTCTTGTGAGCACCAAATGTGCCAACCTGTCTTTATGAAATCTTGTTTGTTACCACGTGTCAGCAAGGGATTGTGAATGTTTATGCAGGAATTGCTAGCATTCTCTAAGATCTTACACCAGTATTTTCCTGGACTCTTTTTAACTGCAGAACTTTTTCCCTTCAAATGAGATTTTACTGAAAGTTCAACATCTCAAAATAGATGAAAGCAGAGCTATTTTTGTATAGAGGAAGGAGCTTCTCCCTCAAATCATACCTGCATGGTGAACCTTCTCCTCATTGCTGTCAGTTCACACACCTACACACTTGTTTGCACCTCATTACTGAAGTGCTTGTCTGGTCTGATCTATACATTTTAGTTGCTGTGGCCACAATCAGTGGTAGCTAGCTAGCTGCCTAGAGAAGAAAAGGGAGCAAGTGCATAGGGACAGAAAAACATACATTTCTGTATGAAGCAGTCAATCCTGTGATTATTGACCTTTTTGCTGTTTAGTTCCTGGAACCCTTTGAGAAACTGTTGGAGCAATAGAGACCCTTCTCCCTAGAAAAATGGATATAGGCTGCACACACACAATTTTGTATTTAATTTCAGGGGTTTCTTGGGCTCTAGTTTAAGAACATGTCCCATAGAAGACAGGCCTCACAGCCTACTTTAAATTAATGAAGTTAATCATAAAGGAAGGACATGTTATACTGCTAACAATTGACTGCTCAATCCACAATGTTGTGTTCATTACCTTAACATGCACTGGGAACTTTCATACTGAAACCCATTGGACTTGGTGTCATATAAATAGCTCAGATTTTCTTTCTAGCTCCATTTCCCCTTTGTCCAGAGTTGTTACCCGCTAAGATTCTGATAAAAGCAAAGAACTCTTTCTTTAGAAAAATGCACATCTCCAGAATTGTGAGCTCAACAACTTCAGGGGGGTCTCCTGTTCCCCTGAAGCCATTACATATGTTCCCTAGAGCCCCAGAGACCCCAAGAAATGTCTTGGTCTAAAGTAGTTACTTGTTTAAAGGAACGCTTAAATAAATAAATCAAATTACCTGTAATTTAGAAAAAAATAAGACTCAAATAATTAAAACATATCTTTTACAAATATAATTTAGATTGATGAATGATCACGTTAAAGGTTATGTAAGTCTACCTTGCCCTATTTCGGGGGAAGCAAATGAAATATGCTAGTTTAAAGAATTAAAATGCACTCAGTATACATTATGCAGCATTATACAGTATCAATTTTCCTCGGAATTTTAGTGGTGATGGGGAAACTATACTGAATTAGTCCACAATAAACTTGACACTTTTGGTTTTTCCCTCCCCCAACTATGTACATAGATTTTTTGGTAAACATTCCTTCTACTTTTAAGTGAATTGGATAGTTTTTATTTTGCCTTTGTGGTGTTTAGTAAAGGATAGTTTTGTCATCTAATTGGTATTATAAAGAAAATATAAATGGAATTTATGACTTATTTTGTCAGATTTGAAAAATGTAAAGCTATACCAGGGAATGAACAGTTTCATTAGCTTAATTTGGAAAAATAACTCTACTGGTTTGGTATGTTTATGTGTCCAAATCTCAGAAAAATGTAAAACTAATTTTACAATAGTTTTTTATTTTCTGCCTATTTTGGTCTTAATTAAGGACAGGTAGTGTGGGATGTTGGATTAGAAGGGATGGATTAGATGAAAAGAGATGGTAAGGAGAACATTCAAAAATCCTAGTAGAATTGCTTTTTTTCTTCCATTTTTCAGGAATCACTGTTTTGTATTTTGTTTTTAGCTAAAAATTTTGTATGAGAAGATCAGCAGCTTTAAAAAGAAATCCATGCCTTATTTGGGGAGAAAAAGGGACATCTGTAATATTTTAAACAAAAATAAAATTTTAAAAATTAATTAATTAAATTAAAAAAAAAAAAAGAAATCCATGCCTTAGTCTGTCTTTTGTTTAACTTTTAGATGGACTTATAGATTCATCAAGGCCAAGCAATTCACTTGCTGCTCAACCATGGCATAGTTGTCATAAGCTCATTTATGTGCGACCTAACTCTAAAACCGGTGTTCCTGTTGGACATTGGCCAATTCCAGAATCTTTTTGGCCAGATCAGAATTTACCTTCACTAGTAAGTATAAAACAAAAGGGAAACAGCCTTCTGGATTTTCAATTTGCTGGTTGATTTTAAATAGCTTTGAAGCTTTTAAGCCACCCAACCCTATTCTATCTCTTGCTGGAAGTCTAGCTTGTACCAGAAGCAAGAGAAGACTTTCTATTCTGGCATTCTCTCTTTCAGCTGCCTTTACCACTTGAACTGCCCTCTTTAGAGGTTAAAGCATGGCTATTTTTGATGCCGTTGCAATCTGTGGCTTGGTTTTTATTTCAGAGCAGCTGAGTTGATTTACATAGTAAAAACAATGGCTAATGGCTGGCATTGGTTTTCATGTATATTCTCAGGAAATTAGGACTAGTCTACACCTTGTAAAGGTTCTAGAAACATACTCAAATCATGACTTGGGGTGGTGAACACACAAAGCAATATACAGATGATGTATTATAGGATTGTACACTTGACGCCTATATAATTTTATTAACCATTGTCACCCCAATAAATCCAACAAATAAAAAAATAAAGTTTAGAAACATATTCAAATCAGAGGTCATTTTACTTCCGCCTAGGGACTCATTAGACAACTAGTGGAACTTTGTGGACCTACTTTGCATCTTTTTGTAATCAATGGTCTTGTGTTCCTTAGCAATGTACCTTTAAATGATGGGTAATTAAACAATATTTTTAAAATGATCTCCAAGCAAGAACTTGCCTTTTGTTGACTGCATTTGGTAGACGCGGGTTTGATATTGTAGTTGTTTCTGGTACTAGATGAATTGGCTTTGGGGGTAAGGGTGGTGTCTAGTAAACAGGGACATTATATGAATTTAGTTCTCCTTTTCATCTTCCTTTCTCCCCCCAGGAAGGGAGGGTGAGGGGCACGGAAGGATCACTACTCTTTCAGTTTGAACTGATCTGTAGTCTAAGTTTTAGAAATTTCTGACATGAACTGCATTTTTTTCCTGATTACTATTTTTAGGCTCCTGCATTTTTTTCAGCAATGGCCATGAAAGGACTGAATGTACAATTGAAGAACCATTTCAGCCCCTGCTGTGGGAGAGGGTGAATCTTTTCTTCCTTCCCTCAGGGCTCCAAGGTGGCACACTGGTCAAATCTCAATGTTCAGCTAACTCTCAGCCCCTTCAAACCCCAGAGTGAATGTTCTAGTTACGAAGTCACTTCATCATTACCAGTGACAGGCCTTCACTCATGTCTTTATTGCTTTCTTACAGGTTTAAATCAATAACCTAAAAATATTTGTTTAATTAAAATGAAAACCAGGAAAAACTGGAATAAAGAAATTCCAAGTAACTCAACATAGCTCACATTACCATGCCTTTAGCTTTAAAAGCACATTTGAGGCCTATTTTTCTCAGCTCCCAAAACATCTTGTAGGTTTGTAAGTCATAAGAGCAAGTGGGCAGGTTTTCCTTTTTATAAAGGAAACAGAGATGTTTCGTTATTCATATTAGCCTTATAGTTCTCAGCAAGAATAGGTGAACCCATGCCTCACCTTTGTTCCTGGGACTTGTCCTATCCCCTTATCTCTCCATATTGCCCTTGCTGCCACCATTTCTGTCTCTGGTGCTCTCCATTCCCACAAGCTCCATCTGTTAATAAAATGGCTGCTCCATCAATCTGCTCTGACACCCCAGGCACACAGGCCTTTTCAGCCCAGCCAAAAGCACCCCCAGCTCTAGCTATTCAAGGTAAATGGGAGAAATGCTATAAAAATTCAACTGGAAAAAATTCTACTGGACCCTGGAGTTTTGACTGGCTCCTTTTCAGTCTCTATTTTGCCCTTTATAAGCCTATACAATTTGTTCATCTTGCTTGTTAGTGGCTCTAGCTCTTTCATTACCTCCTTAGAAAGCTTCATGGATTTCTTCTTCCTTAGCAGTGTTTGGGCTATCTGTAAGTTCATGGTACAAAGGAATGAATAAAGCCCAGGGTTCATCCTACAGATTGTAATGACTTCTTAAAAATATTCAAAGAAGTTTTGTTTCACTGAAATTGTAGGTATGAGCATTATAATTTACATTTCCCTTTCTCATTGCCAAGTTGGTGGTAGAGATAAAGAATCTCAGTGCCCTTCCTGCATTGAAGCCATTGGTGATGCTTAGAGATCAGCAGCCCTGTTTCTCAAAACACAGGGATGGTTTATAAAAGGGGTTGCAGAATTGTTAGAAATGTAAGCTGGCTCGTAACTGATGATATTTCCCCCTCTTGTTTTTTAGCCTCCACGAACATCTCATCCTGTTGTGAGGTTCTCCTGTATAGATTGTGAACCAATGGTAATAGACAAACTTCCCTTTGACAAATATGAACTTGAACCTTCACCTTTAACTCAGTACATCCTGGAACGGAAATCTCCCCATACTTGCTGGCAGGTACTTATCCTTACCTGTTAGACAAGTATTAATAACCACTCTTGGGTTTGGGAATTGTTTAAGAAATTTCAAAAGTTAATCTGGGAATAATTAGGCTGAGTCTGTTAATAATGTTTCTCCAAAATGTTATCAAATAAACAACAGAGCCAAGCAAATAATTTCACACTGATAATGAATCATTAGCCATTTAAGGTAGTCAAATCTAATGAAGCTTGTGTATTTGAGAATTTGGAAGCCTATCCAGAGACCCCAGGTTTAGAATCTCTAACCAAAGGGATGTAATTCTATTCAGTTATGGCTTCTGCAGGGTGAAGCAGAACAGATCGGAAGTAAAAGATCTGTTTTTTCTTATTTTAAAAATATGTTTTTATTGATTTTAGAAAGACAGAGGAAGGGAGAGGGAGAGAAAAACGTTGATGAGAGAGAAGCATCAGTTGGCTGCCTCCTGCATGCCCCCTACTGGGGAATGAGCCCCAAACCCAGGCATGTGCCCTGACCCAAATCGAACCTTCGACCTCTCTGTGCATGGGACGCTGCCCAATAAACTGAGCCACACCAGCCAGGGCACAAAATATTTTTGACAAAAAGCCAAAAGCCCTGAAACTACTTTCTGTATTAGTGTAATGTAATCAAACTCTTTTTGTGGTACCAAGCATATTGGTGTGTATAGTGTGGATTTTACTTGAACAAAGCAAATGCACACCATTGGCTCTTCCAAGTGTGATCTTTCAACGAGAATGGATTGCTGATTTGTTACTGGATTCACCTTTGGATTTTGATTTGTAAAAATCCAGACATGGCAGTCACAGCCTTTTTATTTGTATGTAATAAGGAAGTCTTACACTGTAAGGATGTTTGTTCTGTTTCTAAACTATAGCACCATATAGCAATCAGTAATTGTTAGGTTCTACTTCCACAAGGAACACTTTCAGACTGCCATATGTTTCATGCTAAGTTGCTACTGGTTTTCTTTTAGATACGTAAGTTCTCCAAAGATGCTAAAACTGGGTAGAAAAAAAGGAACAGGCTTAAAGCAAGGATGTAAAAGTGCAAGAAACAACAATCTCATAAATATAACATTGAATGAAAGGAGGCAGGCTTAAAAGGTCACATATTAGCCCTGGCCGGTGTGGCTTGGTTGGTTGGAGTGTTGTCCAATGCACCAAAAGGTTGTGGGTTCGACTCCTGGTCAGGGCACATGCCCAGGTTGCCGGTTCAATCCCCAGTCGGGGGTGTGCAAGAGGCAGCCTATGGATGTTTCTTTTTCACATCAATGTCTGTCTGTCTGTCTGTCTGTCTCATTCTTTCCTCTCTCTCTCCTCCCTTCCTCTTTAAAAAAAATAAATTAAGAAAAAAAGGTCACATATTGTATGATTTTTCTTTATATGTGTTCAAAAAGAGGTCAAACTGACCTACTCTGTTAGAAGTCAGGATAGTGGTTTCTCTCGGGGGTGCAGAGTAGTGACCAGAAAAGGGCATGAGGGGGCTTCTGGTTGTGTTCTATTTCTTGATCTGGGTGCTAATTACACATGTGCATTCACTTTGTGAACATTCATTGAGCTATATACTTATAATTCATGCACTTTTTTGAATGTTTGTTTATGTTTCAACAAAAAACACCCAAAATGTACTAGAAATATAGACATGTGGGTTATAGAATGGTAACTTAAAGTCAATATAAGACATTTGAATTTATGGGTCAAAAAAAGTTTGCAAAAAAAGCAAATAAAATTGTAAATTATACCTTTTTTCTAAAAACTCTCTTTTCTATGTAGCACATTCCTTGTCAATGTTCTCCAAAGAAACTGAAATCCTGACCTTGCTCCCTGCATCACCCCTCAAATATGATGCCATATGCCTTTCTCTTTACCTTATGTTACTTTGGTTTAGAGTAGTTTTAATGTGATTAATTATTGGGTGTGAAAAAGAATAAGATGGACCAGGAACCAGGAAATTTGGGGAAATCATAATGGAGGCTGGATTTCTGCTGTACAAACTATGTGGTCTTGAACTAGACACTTACTTTTTTTAGACTAGATGGTCTCTAATGATTGCTTTGAACCACTAAATTCTGTGAATTCGCAGGTGATAAGGAATTTGGAAAAACTCAAGGGGCTTATTGGAAATAAAGGAAGGTAGGAAGGGAGTGAGGGAAGAGAGAAAGGAAGTGAGAGAGGAACAAAAACAGTGTTTTTCCTTTCTCAAGAATCATAGGTCTGACCCTTGATGGCTTTGTGTAAGTTTTTTATCCTTTATGATGATTTCCCCCCCTCTTCTATTGTTCGCAATTAAGGAAATAGGGGGGAATCCAACATGGTTTATTGCAGTTTTCTGTTTCTATTAAGTTTCAAATTAAGATATGAAATCTAGTAGATGAGTCATGTTTTAGCACAACTAATTGTTCTGTGGAGTCATAAATTACATAAGAAGAATTTATTCTTAGCTGTAACTAAATATTGCAAAAATTTAGTTACCTGCTAGGTGATATTGCTGGTACCAAGAATTAGCAAGGGAAATGAATCTTGTTTACCATCAGGATTTGACTTTTGTGTTAAGTAATCCTGTTGAAAGACTCATGAAACACAGAGAAAACATGGTAGCTAGAGGACTCCAGCACAGCATAGCAAGTGTATGGGACCTAACAATATAATATATATCAAATCAAGAATATCAATAATGAATAAGGTGATAGTCATATGTAATAAAGATTAATGTTTTGATCATCATTGAATGTTTCTTCTACCAGTGTAACTTACAAGATAAGTGACTTCCAGAAAAAATCCAAAGCATTTTCTTGCTGCCGCAAAATAATTAGCACAAATGTACCAGTGCCTGACTATTCAGTAAATACTTATTGGATGAAAAATGAATAGTGGGTAGGGGAATGGGGTATCAAAGGGAAGTAAAGCAAGATTTAATAGTAGTACACATGAAGAGTGTTAGCATAATCCTTTAAAAGGGCTGTGTTTTATAATTGCCTGCTTTAGGCAGGGGACCATGTTCCATTTTCCTAAAAGTCTTTACTCTGGTCACCACTTCTTCCTTTGAAAAGTCACTTTGTTTTAATGGCTGGTATTTCAGCCATATTTTCCATTGTGCTAGCCAAGTAAATATTCGGGCATTGTTGATGTAGACTGCAAACTCTGAATGGTTATTGCATAGTACAGTTTCATTTCTTAATACAAGTTACAAAAGAATTGCAATCTGAACATTCTTATTTAGTATGATATATTTGACATAACCATAGGCCAAAAGCACTATTTCCATTTTTAAATTACAATTAAATTGTGCCATAGGTATGGCTATGGAATATTGCTGTGAGTTTGCTTTTACATAAAACCCTCATTGTCATAACTGTATATTACTTCACGTTATTCTCAGGTATTTGTTACTAGCAGTGGAAAATACAATGAACTTGGATATCCATTTGGTTATTTAAAAGCCAGTACAACCTTAACTTGTGTAAACCTCTTTGTGATGCCCTACAACTACCCAGTTTTACTCCCTCTTTTAGGTAAGTAGAGTATGTCCTATTTAGTCATCTTTAAAATACAACCAAAAATACATGATGGTCTAAGCACCTTAAATCTAGTCAAAGAGTAATTAATATCTGGGTATATAAAAATCTAAAAACTGATTTGAAAGGATAGAATTTGCATACTGTTCTCTGTTTGGTCTTCTTTTTGTTGTTTTTACATCAAATAGGAGAGGCACTTAAATTCTGGTATGTGATTCTTACGCTGTTCTTCAGGTTGCAAGGTCCAATGCTGCCACCCCTCCACTCCAACTCCCAGTTTTTTGTGTGCATTTTTAAAATGTGTTTTATTGATTTCATAGAGAGGAAGGGGAGGGAGAGAGAGATAGGAACACCAATGATGAGAGTCACTGATAGGCTGCCTCCTGCACACCCCCTACTGGAGATCAAACACACAACCCAGGCATGTGCCCTGACCCGGAATCGAACCACCATCTCCTGGATCATAGGTCAACACTCAACCACTGAGCCACGCCAGTCGGGCGCCAACCCCCAGTTTTAAGTGCACTTGCCTTTTTCATAGACTTGTTTGAGCCAAAAAACCCAAAACCATGGATTGGGTTTAATACTACAAAAATATGATCCTTTTCTTCAGAAAATACAGCTTCAATGGGGAGTATTGGCTCACACTAATTCCTCCACAAAAGAATATTCAATGCTCTTGCGGCATCTGTTTTAGGCACAGTAGCAAGTTATGGCAATCAGTACAAGAGTAAATTCTGCAATAACTGTAGTTATAGAAGCTGTGGTTTCCATGGCAATATTCTAAAAGGAACAACTCCAGAAGCTATTACTCAGGTATCACTGAAAACGTGTGTAGAGACTTTTTCTTCATTTAAAGAGCCACATCTGTTTTAGAGTAATATAATACCACATGGTATCCTTCTAGTTGTAAAGTTGTGAACATTTTTATTTGGTGGAGCCTCTTAACTTTTGCCAAAAGAACCAAGCCTTTACTGAATTCTAATAGTCATTAAAAGCATAATGTTTTTTATTATGGTAAGTGAAATAAGTCGGACAGAAATAGACAAATACCATATGATTTCATGTATATGTGGAATTTAATGAACAAAATAAATGAACAAACCAAAAGCAAACTCATAGATGTAGAGAACTTTTTATTTTTACTTATTTATTTATTTTTCCTTTTTATGGTTGCCAGATAGGAGTGGGTTAGGGGGATGGGTGAAAAGGGGGAAGGGATTAAGTTGTGCAAATTGCCAGTTACAAAAACTGTCATGAGGAAGTAAAGTACAGCATAGAGAATATAGTCAATAATATTGTAATAGCTATGTATGGTGTGAGATGGGTACTAGACTTATCTGGGTGATCATTTCATAAGTTATATTATAAATGTCTAATTACTATTTTGTACACCTGAAACTAATATAATATGGTATGTCACCTGTTATTGAAAAATAAAAATTATTGAAAGAAGCGTAAGATTTTTAGTGCTATAAGTACTATATATATTAAATGTACTGAAAAGGCAATTCTTTCAAATGTTGCAAGTTAAGGTTAAGAATGGGTGATCATAAATATATTAGCTTGATTGTTCTGTATAGCCTATCTACTTTATTTCTTAGTCTAATCTAAAAGTATCCTTTAAAAGGTGATTGCCCGGTCAGGCGTGGCTCAGTTGTTGAGCATCGATCTAGGATCCAGGCGATCGGGGTTTGATTCCTGGTCAGGGCACATGCCTGGGTTGCGAGCTCGATCCCCAGTCGGGGGCATGCAGGAGGTCGCCGATCAATGACTCTCTCATCATTGATGTTTCTATCTCTCTCTCCCTCTCCTTTCCTCTCTCTGAAATCAATAAAGACACATTAAAAAGAAAAAAGAAAAAAAAGAATTATTAAAAGGTGATTGTCACTGATATAAGTTATGTCTTTGAGATTAATAAGACTACCAACAAAAAACAACCTGTATTTTGTGGATTTACTTACCCCCCCCTCTCCCACACACACCTTTTTTAAAATATGTCTTTATGGATTTCAGAGAGAGGAAGGGAGAGGGAGAGAAAGAGATAGAAACATCAATGATGAGAAAGTCATTGATCGGCTGCCTCATGCATGCCCCCCACTGGGGATCAAGCCCACAACCCGGGCATGTGTCATGACCAGGAATTGAACCAGGATCTCCTGATCATAAGCTGATGCTCAACCACTGAGCCATGGACCTATTTCTGTTTTTTAAATATTTTTATTTTATTTTATTTTATTTTATTTTATTTTATTTTATTTTATTTTATTTTATTTGAGAGAGAGAGGAAGACAAGGGAAAGAAACATTGATCGGTTGCTCCCTGTTGTACCCTGACTGAGGATTGAACCCACAACCTAGGCATGTGCCCTGACTGGGAATTGAACCAGCAACCTTTCAGTGCATGGGACAATGCTCAACCAATGGAGCCACAACCGGCAGGGCTCACTTTCTATTTCTTTGCTGAGGTTTTCTGGTTTTTTTTCATTTGTTTCAGGCATGTCTATAATTGGTTGTTGAAATATTTTTTATTATGGTGGGTTCTTTAAACTTTTATTGAATATTTTTAACATCTCTGTCATTTTGGTGTTGGTGTCTTTTTTTATTTTAATCCTCATCTGAGAGTGGAAGGGAGAGAATAGAGAAACATCGATGCGAGAGAGACACATCAATTGGTTGCCTCTAGCATGTGCTCCAACCGGGCCCAGGGATCAAGCCTGCAACCAAGTTACGTGCCCTTGGCGGGAATCGAACCCGGGACCCTTCAGTCCGCAGGCTGACCCTCTAACCACTGAGCCAAACCACCTAGGGCTGGTGTTGGTGTCTCTTGATTGTCATTTTGAATTTGTTGTGAGATCTTCCTGGTTCTTGATATGGTGAGTGAATTTCAATTGAAACCTGGACATTTTCAGCATTGTGAGTGTGTGGATCTTTATTTAAACCTTCTGTTTTAGCTTGCTTCTTCTCACACTCCTCTGGCAGAGATTTTGAGTTACTGCCTCATTAGTGCTAGAGGGAGGGAAGTCCAGGTTCCCCACTTGGCCTCACTAGAATACCTCCCTGGCTGAGAGAAGTAACAATTCTTTGTTACTCCTCCCCACATGGTCTCCACTGACACCATAGGGGTGGAGGTGGCCTCATTACCGCAGGGCAGTGGAAAAGTTCTTTAGAACTATTAGGGGTTGAATTCCAGCATTTCATCTTTGGTCTAAACTCAACCTGTCTTCCAAATTCTTGCATGAAAGTGCCCCTAAATAGAGTACCTCATCTTCTATGAGAAACTGAGATACATAGCACTTTTATAATAGCAAGACCCACCCTCTAAAATTGGTCTTTGATGGTCTTAGGTAATAGAGGTCAGATGTGGACATGGCATAATGGTTAAGAGGAAGCATTCAGTTCTTCCTTTGCCTCAAACCTTCTCTGCCTAAGTTGCCACATTCCCAGACTCCATAGTACTATGTAAGGTCAAATCCTGACACTGTCCTGGTTACCTCTTAGTCTATATCACTCTATTCCTTAAATGTCAAGTTCTCCTTCTCTCTGAAATGTCTTCTAACACCAGAGAGACATATGTGGCATTTGCTCCTGGTCCTTCTTAACCTACAACACTGAGAATCCAACCCTGCCTAGAGCATCATGATCCCTTTGCAAATATCCCAAACCAGAAACCCCAGAGGCATCTTTGATTTCTCCCCCGTCCCTAACCTCACATATTCATTTTGAGGTCATCCCATCCTTGACTCAGTTCCCGTTATGCCCTTTTGCCTCAAATATCTATTTCCAGGCTTTTCTATAATCTGCATCTTCTAAGAAGCGTGGGGTTTTTCGCACACCCTTTGAGGCTGAAGGTCGGTGTACTCATGTATCCCGAAGTTGGATTTTATGTTGAGGTTCTAAAATAGACACTTCTTACATTTCCACCATTACTTCATTTTCTGGGTTGTGTAGCTTTCATAGTGCTTAAGTGTATGAACTGTATGGCATAGCTACCCTGATATGAATACTGGCTCTGCTGTTTGCTAGCTTTGTGACCTTAGATAATATACTTAACCTCTCTGTGCCTCAGTTATTTCATCTATAAAGTGAGAATAACGATAGTACCTACCTCAAAGGGATTTAGTTGGAATTAAATGAATACAGTTAATTGCCTACAACTCACCTGACGAATAGTAAGTGCTCAATAATGCTATTAGCATTATTAATAACTATGTTATCTTAGCAGCTCTTAAAGGCACTATTTCATACTAAAGATAATATGAAGTTACAGGATGGTTTCACACTTTTAGTGGACAGAGCATTTAGTACAAATGAAAGTTAAGTCACATACACTTCATAACGCCCAGAAACATCAATGTATTACTGCACAGTACGATAACTGTCCAAGAAGGTGACCTCTGTTTCTTTATCAATTCAAGATTGCCATCAAAAGTAGTAAAAGGTTTAATTATTTAAACACTAAAGTGTACCTGGGATAGATAAGTGAGGCTTAATTGGATCAATGCACTATCATAAGAATCACATTAGTAGGGCTGTAACCAGATTATAATAGTTGGCGAACAGACTATCTCTCAATTAGGAAATTAAGAATTTTTTGTTGTTGCTGAGAACTAATAACTACAGAAATTAAGGAATTTATGGCAACTTTTCTTTTTCTTTTTTAAAAAATATATCTTTATTGATTTCAGAGAGAGGAAAGGAGAGGGAGAGAGAGAGAAACATCAATGATGAGAGAGTCATTGATCGACTGCCTCCTGCACGCCCCCTACTGGGGATGAAGCCTGAAACCCGGGCATGTGCCCTGACCAGGAATCAAACCCCGATCGCCTGAATCCTAGGTCGACGCTCAACTGCTGAGCCACGACTGGCTGGACAACTTTTCTTTTTTAAAATATACTACATTCAATTTGCCTGGTTTCTTTTTTTAATTAAGAACTAGGGACTTGTGTAAAAAATAAAATTTAACTCCATGTTGAGACCAGGAGGAGCAAAAGAGAATAAATGAAGGAAGATACTTTGATGTGTACTAATCAATGTATACTCAGTGCTTTACAGCTTGCACCATTTCTCATTTTATACGGTGTTTTCATGTACATAATCTAATTCTCAGAACAATCTTGTGTGGGAAGGAAGTTAGCATTAAATGGACTTTGTAGATGGAATGGAGGCACAAAAAGGTGAAGTAATTTCTCAAAGCTCACTCAGCTAAGAATGTGGCTGATCTTGGACTCAAACCCACATCTTCCTCCTCTTTGAAGCTGGAAATGGGGAGAAAGGAACTGGAAGAGGACATGTCAGTAATTTTTGAAGTGTTGGCAGTATCATTTTAATCTCGTTCTGTACTCTCTTGTCTTTCAACTGATTGTTGATGACATCTTTACTGTACCCTCTTAGATACTCCATGTGAATGGAAATTTAATACCATGGAAACTATTTTCTGAGCTATAGAGATAGTGACTACACAGCACTGTCACCCTAACAGATCTCTACCCTTAATTTCAACTGTGGAAGATTTTCTTTCTTCCTCACACCCATTTCAAAAAATCCTATGAAAAATAATTAGACTAAATTAGCTCCTGAGCAGAATCATTGCAATCAGCATTGTTAGAAATATTAAAACTATTATTGACTCTCATTATCTAATCTATTTACATTCAAATATCTCTCCAGTCTTATGGTATTTAAATTTGTGTTAGTTTCCAAAATATGCCTAATTCCCAACAGACTTCACATAAAGACACAATTCAAGATATGAATGGTCTCTAAAAGACCTGCATGCTATAATGAGTCAGCAGTCTCTTCAGATCTTTTTTCTTTGTTCTTTCTACCCTGTTCCAAAAGAACAAAAACCCTACATTTTATGACTGTGTAAATTCATTTAAATTAGTTTCAACAGGAGTGAATAATTTATTGTAGCAATAAAAGGAAGAAAATACATAGTTGCTTTTCTTACCTAAAGTAATTCAGAATTTCAAAGAACAGCCTATTTGTAGAGAAATTATACATATGGCATAGAAATGGTCTTGTCATTGGAAGTAAAAGCATTTGTTTTGGGATAAGAGCCAATAAAACCCAAAGAAACAAAATAGAGGTTGAATTTTTATCTTTCATATTTATAGTAAGTGTGGCAGGCTCATGTTGATGTCTGGGGATATCAATCTTGAATTATGTTAGAAAAAAATATTTTTTCTTATCCTCGGAAGGAAATAATGCGATGTTTTAGAAATTTTTGTGTGCTGTATGTAATGCATTTAGATTATTAAAATAATTAAGGTTAAGTGTGAAACCATAGGGATATCAGCTTATTTAACCAAAATATCTTTAGTTGTGTCAATGTACATGGTATTAAAGAAACATATTTAGTTGTGCAGAATTTAAACCAACCTAACATCTCTACTTGCTTTTACTAGTGCCATCACCCAATTTTTTTAAATAATTTTTTTATTTTTCAATTACAATTGACATACAATATTATATTAGTTTCAGGTGTACACCCCAATGAATAGACATTATATAACTTAGTAAGTGATCATTCCGATAAATCCAGCACCCATCTGGCACCATACATAGTTATTAGAGTATTATTGACTATATTACCTATGCTGTACTTTACATCCCCAGGACTATTTTTTAACTACCAATTTGTACTTCCTATTCCCTTCACCCTTTTCACCCATTCCTCCATCCCTCTCCCATCTGGCACCCAATTGTTAACTAACACTTGAGAGGCTCAAAGTTTGGCTTAAAATGCCTGACTACTGAAATCAAAGAAATGAAGAGGGGGAAAATATGACTAACAATGTATATGCTGATTGTGGAGAATCCAAAACATAATTCGAGCTTGCCATCATTACCTAGAAATTAGAGGCTTAGCTTTTGTTCTCATATACTTTGTAAAGTCCACTCATTACCTTGGCCTTTCAGCAAAAAGTATAACACTATTTTTTATTATTGAAATATATTTGATATATAACATTATATTAGTTTCAGGTGTACAACATAATGATTCAATATTTGTATATGTTGTGAAATGACCACCACTAGAAGTTTAGTTAATATCTATCATCCTACATAGTTACAAATTTTTTTCTTGTGATGAGAACTTCTAAGATCTACTCTCTTACCAACTTTCAGATATGCAATACAGTATTATTAACTATAGTCACTGTGCTGAACCTAACATCTGCATGACTTATTTATAACTGGGAGTTTGTACTATTTGACCACCTTCAGTCATTTCAC